ATATCTATGATAAGTTATATAAATATATCCAATTCCGATAAAAAGGGGTGAATAAGGCGAGTTTTATAGATGAGGACTTAGATAGGGGGTTTTTTCGTCTCCATATATAGTCGATATAAAATTTTAGATAAAAAATATTATAAAAACAATATGTTCTCATACTCTATATATACTGTAAACAAAATGAAAAAAACTTCAGAAAAAGTACTTAATCTATTAAGTGACTGAATGATAAATCGGAATGGACTAACATTCCATAAATTAATCTACAATAGATATAGACATGTTAGTGATTTATCGAATTACTCAGAAATATCTGAACATATCGATTATGGTTGTTCTGATCACACAGCCTTCTTATTTAATATATAGAAACTGGCAGTAATACTACAACCTGAAATATTACAAAACAGACTGGATATATATCACAAATATCTTATAACTATTGAATCGTGCCAGAATTTATTTGGATAAGTGTTCTGAATAATAGAAAAATGAATCATAAATCTTAATATAATCTGGACCTCTATCTCTAGACTATATTTTTTCATTATATCCTATATAATAGTAAATTTCAAATCGACGTCTCAGTTACCCTGTAGGTAGACATAAACTCTTTTTTTTCTGAGTATATGAGGAAAAAAGCATAATTAATTTTGATTTGAAAAGATATTTTCCATAGTGTATATAACCTAAAGAATTGTTCATAAACTATCTGACCTATTATAATATTTAATCATGTCAGCTATCACAACTAAAATCGTTGAAAAATATAAACTTACTTCAAATATAGATATATCTGAACTTAGTCAATATACCTCTGAGTTTCTCAAAAACCTTACAGATGATTGAAAAAGGAATCAGGCTCGAAGATGTCTTCGGGATAGCTTTAAATTTAGCAATGAGCAGGTAGGTGTATTGATACCTAATCAGAGGAGTGGGAAAAATAAAACTATAAATATTGTCAAAGATAATTGTAGAATAGTTCTAGCATCACCCCAAAAAAATCTAGAAGAAGAGATTATCAGAGAGAAAGCAAAACAAATCTTGCAAAATAGATATGGGTTTAGTAAGGATCAAGTAAATACCTTATTCACAATCCAGACAAATAGACAATGTGAGAGTACTTCTGGTAAAACCTTAAATATTGTGATTTCCAACAAACCCCCAAAAAGAATAGAGAAGACTATTGGAGAGATAGCACAACGGATTTTACAGGATAAACTTA